CACAAGATTCTTTCAGATTGTGTCAAAAAGTACGATCAGCAAAATTTTTTTTTTTTTACATTTTCTTAATCAGTTTATAAAGACTCTCATGATTCTTTTAAATTCATAAAAACACCGTAGGGAACCCAAGATTCTTTGAAACTTTCTCAAAAACGAAAGACCAAAGACCACAAGGTTCTTTCAGATTATTTCAAAAAATACGATCAGCAAATGTTTTTTTTTGTTCTGCATATTTTTTTAATAATTCTCTAGGGACACTCACGATTGTTTTAAATTCATAAAAACACCTTAGGAAACCCAAAAATTTTTGAGATTTTCTCAAATACGAAAGCCACAAGATTCTTTCAGATTGTTTCAAAAAGTACGATCAGCAATTATTTTTACATTTTCTTAATTACTTTATAAAGACTCTCACGATTCTTTTAAATTCATAAAAACACCGTAAGGAATCCAAGATTCTTTGAAATTTTCTCGAAAACGAAACACCAAAGACCACAAGGCTCTTTTAGGTTATTTTAAAAAATGCGATCAGCAAATGTTTTTGTTTTACATATTTTTTTAATAATTTTCTAGGGACACTCACGATTTTTTCAAAATCACAAAAACACCTTAGGAAACCCAAGATTTTTTGAGATTTTCTCAAATACGAAGGCCACAAGATTCTTTCAGATTGTTTCAAAAAGTACGATCAGCAAAATTTTTTTTTTTTACATTTTCTTAAGTAGTTTATAAAGACTCACGATTCTTTTAAATTCATAAAATACCCTAGGGAACCCAAGATATTTTAAATTTTTTTCAAAAACGAAACACTAAAGACCACACGATTCTATCAAATTATTTGAAAAGTACGATCAGCAAATGGCTTTTTTTTAATTTTCTTAATAGTTTTCTAAAGACTGTGACGATTCTTTTAAATCCATAAAACACCCTAGGGAACCCCAGATTCTTTGAAATTTTCTCAAAAAGGAAACACCAAAGGTCACAAGATTCTTTCAGATTATTTGAAAAGTACGATCAGCAAATGGCTCTTTTTTAATTTTCTTAATAATTTTCTAAAGACTGTGAAGATTCTTTTAAATTCATAAAATACACTAGGAAAGCCAAGATTCTTTGAAATTTTCTCAAAAAGGAAACACCAAAGGCCACAAGATTCGTTCAGATTATTTGAAAAAGTACGATCAGCAAATGCCTTTTTTAAATTTTTTCTTAGTCATTTTCTAGGGTCTTGCACGATTCTTTTAAATTCATAAAAACACCCTAGAGAACCCAAGATTTTTTAAAATTTTTTCAAAAACGAAACACTAAAGGCCACACGATTCTTTCAGATTATTTGAAATTTTGAAAAGTACGATCAGCAAGTGACTTTTTTTAAATTTCTTAATAATTTTCTAAAGACTGTGACGATTCTTTGAAATTCATAAAACACCCTAGGAAACCCCAGATTCTTTGAAATTTTCTCAAAAAGGAAACACCAAAGGCCACAAGATTCTTCCAGATTATTTGAAAAAGTACGATTAGCAAATGCTCATTTTATATATTTTCTAAGTCATTTTCTAGGGTCTCGCACGATTCGTTTAAATTCATAAAAACACCCTAGGGAACTCAAGATTCTTTAAAATTTTTTCAAAAACGAAACACTGAAGGCTACACGATTCTTTCAGATTATTTGAAAAGTACGATCAGCAAATGGCTTTTTTTAATTTTCTTAATAATGTTCTGAAGACTGTGACGATTCTTTTAAATTCATAAAATACCCTAGGAAAGCCAAGATTCTTTGAAATTTTCTCAAAAAGGAAACACCAAAGGCCACAAGATTCGTTCAGATTATTTGAAAAAGTACGATCAGCAAATGCCTTTTTTAAATTTTTTCTTAGTCATTTTCTAGGGTCTTGCACGATTCTTTTAAATTCATAAAAACACCCTAGAGAACCCAAGATTTTTTAAAATTTTTTCAAAAACGAAACACTAAAGGCCACACGATTCTTTCAGATTATTTGAAATTTTGAAAAGTACGATCAGCAAGTGACTTTTTTTAAATTTCTTAATAATTTTCTAAAGACTGTGACGATTCTTTGAAATTCATAAAACACCCTAGGAAACCCCAGATTCTTTGAAATTTTCTCAAAAAGGAAACACCAAAGGCCACAAGATTCTTCCAGATTATTTGAAAAAGTACGATTAGCAAATGCTCATTTTATATATTTTCTAAGTCATTTTCTAGGGTCTCGCACGATTCGTTTAAATTCATAAAAACACCCTAGGGAACTCAAGATTCTTTAAAATTTTTTCAAAAACGAAACACTGAAGGCTACACGATTCTTTCAGATTATTTGAAAAGTACGATCAGCAAATGGCTTTTTTTTAATTTTCTTAATAATGTTCTGAAGACTGTGACGATTCTTTTAAATTCATAAAATACCCTAGGAAAGCCAAGATTCTTTGAAATTTTCTCAAAAAGGAAACACCAAAGGCCACAAGATTCGTTCAGATTATTTGAAAAAGTACGATCAGCAAATGCCTTTTTTAAATTTTTTCTTAGTCATTTTCTAGGGTCTTGCACGATTCTTTTAAATTCATAAAAACACCCTAGAGAACCCAAGATTTTTTAAAATTTTTTCAAAAACGAAACACTAAAGGCCACACGATTCTTTCAGATTATTTGAAATTTTGAAAAGTACGATCAGCAAGTGACTTTTTTTAAATTTCTTAATAATTTTCTAAAGACTGTGACGATTCTTTGAAATTCATAAAACACCCTAGGAAACCCCAGATTCTTTGAAATTTTCTCAAAAAGGAAACACCAAAGGTCACAAGATTCTTTCAGATTATTTGAAAAAGTACGATCAGCAAATGCCTTTTTTATATATTTTCTTAGTCCTTTTCTAGGGTCTCGCATGACTCTTTTAAATTCATAAAAACACCCTAGGGAACCCAAGATATTTTAAATTTTTTTCAAAAACGAAGCACTAAAGGCCACACGATTCTTTCAGATTATTTGAAAAGTACGATCAGCAAATGGCTTTTTTTAATTTTCTTAATAATTTTCTAAAGACTGTGAAGATTCTTTTAAATTCATAAAATTCCCCTAGGAAAGCCAAGATTCTTTGAAATTTTCTCAAAAAGGAAACACCAAAGGCCACAAGATTCGTTCAGATTATTTGAAAAAGTACGATCAGCAAATGCCTTTTTTATATATTTTCTTAGTCATTTTCTAGGGTCTCGCATGACTCTTTTAAATTCATAAAAACACCCTAGGGAACCCAAGATATTTTAAATTTTTTTCAAAAACGAAACACTGAAGGCTACACGATTCTTTCAGATTATTTGAAAAGTACGATCAGCAAATGGCTTTTTTTTAATTTTCTTAATAATTTTCTGAAGACTGTGACGATTCTTGTAAATTCATAAAATACCTTAGGGAACCCAAGATTCTTTGAAATTTTCTCAAAAAGGAAACACCAAAGGTCACAAGATTCTTTCAGATTATTTGAAAAAGTACGATCAGCAAATGCCTTTTTTATATATTTTCTTAGTCCTTTTCTAGGGTCTCGCATGACTCTTTTAAATTCATAAAAACACCCTAGGGAACCCAAGATATTTTAAATTTTTTTCAAAAACGAGACACTAAAGGCCACACGATTCTTTCAGATTATTTGAAAAGTACGATCAGGAAATGGCTTTTTTTTAATTTGTTAATAATTTTCTAAGGACTGTGACGATTTTTTTAAATTCATAAAAACACCCTAAGGAACCCAAGATTCTTGGAAATTTTCTCAAAAACGAACCAGCAAAAGGCACAAGATTCAAGTACGATCAGCAAATGGCTTTTTTATATTTTTTAAGTCATTGTCTAGGGACTTTCACGATTCTTTTAAGTTCATAAAATCATCCTAGGTAGCCCAAGATTGCTTGAAATTTTCTCAAAAACGAAACAGTAAAGCCCACAAGATTCTTTCAGATTATTTAAAAAAGCACGATCAGCAAATGGCTTTTTTTTATTAAGTTAGTAATTTTCTAGGGACTTTGACGATTCTTTTAAATTCATAAAATCCGGCTAGGGAACCCAAGATTCTTTGAAATTTTTTCAGGAACAAGGGCCACAAGATTCTTTCAGATTATTTAAAAAAGAAAAAAATTCATTTGATGAATTTTCTTGTATTTTCTTATTTTTTTTTTTTTTTAATTTGAGTACAGTAATTTTCTTGAACATTGGTCTAAAATTGTTTACATAGACCTTCCCCCGCACCTAGGTCGACATTTAAATATTATTCACTAAGTAAATTTTTGAAGTGACGTCATCAAAATTTTGCTGGGAATAGTAAACAATTTTTTTAATTCTTAAAAAAACCTAGAAATTAGTTTTAAAATAAAATAATAACGATCTCAAGACTCGTTCAACCAGTTACTTGTCACTATTACAAAGCGTTGTACCTACAATTGTTTGTAACATCTAGATTTCCAAAGTTGAAAGTAAGGACAAAGTAATATTTTTTTTTTACTATAGTTACAACTGGAAAAGATAATGCAGAACAAGTTCAATTAAATTTTAATTCCTTAGATTTTTATGCGTTGTCAACAATGAATCGCGGTTCGTCGTTAAACAAGTTAGCTTCAATTCGAATTAATTCAAGTCCATTTAATCGACTTTGTTAATGAGGAAGCCGCAACACATCGTCACCATTTTCTCGAAATAGTACATTTAATTTATGTATTTGTTTTTAATCCTTATGACCTCGCAACGCAACAACAACTAAACAAACGCATCAGTATCAAATATTAATATCGAAAATCGCAACCAAACCCACCCCCGATTTGTCCCTACCCCGGAAACCAGCCGAAAGCATGAAGTCCAACCGAGCCGGATTTCGCTTACGCCCCGTAACCGAAATCCGCGCCGTTGAGGTTATGTGTAATCAAAATTGTCCTTGAGTCGCTGCCAGTCGTGCCATTTTCTTACCCTCACCCCGGCCCGACCCCGCGTAATCCCTCTTGTTTTTTAGGATACTACGGCAGTGGAGGCACTTATCCATATCAGGCGTACGGTGTGGGAGACGGGACATGGTCGAACGGTACGGACCCCATGACCTTTCTGAGCGGCTATCCGCACGATTCCTACTCAATGGACGGTTAGTTCGGAGCGGGCGAATCGACAATCTCTAATTTTCTCTTTTTGTGTCGTTTTGAAGGGATGTTCGGCCCGTCCACCACCTTCTCGACGCCGACGGCGTTCGGGCAGCCGTCGTCCTTCAACTACTTCCACAGCAACGGAGACTACAGCACGTGGGGCAGCCAGCTAGGTGGCCAACGCAAGTACGAAGACTACTACAGGGATCCGTCAAACATGTACACTCAGGCTGTGCCAGATTCGATAAAAAGCGTAGAGCAGGCCATGCAAATACTAGGTAAGGGGGATTCTACCTGCTACCGGTACAATGCCTTTATTTGAGTATTCACTCGGAAATGTGGAAAAAATATTTATTGTTCCTATTTAAAAAAGAAAAATAATATTCGTCGAGGTTTACACTCATCTGCATTGATCTGAGTATTTTCGTTTAAACTACGTACTATTTAGAATATTTATTACATAATAGAGAGAAATACCAAAAACTAAAGTCATTTTTATAATACCGTACGATAAAAAAGTCGTCTAGTAGACCATGAACTGTATTTCTAAGATAACGATGTTGGTATTTCAAGTATTTGACACTTTATTAGACAGTTATGTGAGCGTAACTGTCAAACTGAATCAACAACGCATTGGTGTTGCCAACATAATTTTTTAACATTAAATTTCAGAGGTAGCTAGACGACGTTTTTTATTTGATCATACTGAGTTTAGAGAATTTACGATTAATAAAATTACGTCACAGTATAAATTATTTTCCACATTTAGAAAATAAATCCGAAGAGTACTTTCAAGTTAAAAAATATTTCATAAATAAAATCCTCTAGTAGTCCATGAAATTTATTTTTAAAATAATGAGGTTGGTACCACGAACGTCTTCTTTTTTCGATCATATGGTATTATTTCTTTTAATAATGACGTAAAAAAAGAGAATAGAAAAACATTATTATTTAAAAAATAAATTTCAAGGATTTTTTTTTCGAACATACGGTATTACATATTTCTTTTAATAACGAAATTACGTAAATAAATAAAGAAAGTGAATTGAAAAACAGGGTGTTCTATTTGAAAACACCGTTGTAAGGATGTTTGAAATATTTTATTTTAAAATTTTTATTAACGCTCTGTATGCGAAGACTCAATTTGGTAAATACGACAATAAAGTGTGTACTTTTGTTTGTCTATCTATTAAATAGAATATGATCGAAAAAAAAATGTGCTCTGGTAGGCCATGAAATTTATTTTTTAAATTATTTAATTTTATTATGTTGGCGATACCAACGCGTCCTTGTTTATTTTGACAGTTTCGGTGAAGTAACTGTCAAATATAGTCCCAAATGGCTGCAATACCAACACTATTATTTAAAAAATAAGTTTCAAAGCTTTCACAAGGATTTCTTTTTTCGAACGTACGGTATTACATATTTCTTTTAATAACGAAATTACATAAATAAATAAAGAAAGTGAATTGAAAAACAGGGTGTTCTATTTGAAAACACCGTTGTAAGGATGTTTGAAATATTGTATTTTAAAATTTTTATTAACGCTCGGTATGCGAAGACTCAATTTGGTTAATACGACAATGAAGTGTGTACTTGTGTTTGTCTCTCGATTAAATAGAAAATGATCGAAAAAAAGTCGTTTGGTAGGCCATGAAATTTATTTTTTAAATTATTTAATTTTATTATGTTGGCGATACCACCGCGTCCTTGTTAATTTTGACAGTTTCGGTGAAGTAACTGTCAAATACAGTCCCAATGGCTGCAATACCAACACTATTATTAAAAAAATAAGTTTCAAAGCTTTCACAAGGATTTGTTTTTTCGAACATACGGTATTACATATTTCTTTTAATAACGAAATTACGTAAATAAATAAAGAAAGTGAATTGAAAAACAGGGTGTTCTATTTGAAAACACCGTTGTAAGGATGTTTGAAATATTGTATTTTAAAATTTTTATTAACGCTCTGTATGCGAAGACTCAATTTGGTTAATACGACAATGAAGTGTGTACTTTTGTTTGTCTCTCTATTAAATAGAATATGATCGAAAAAAAAATGTGCTCTGGTAGGCCAGGAAATTTATTTTTTAAATTATTTAATTTTATAATGTTGGCGATACCAACGCGTCCTTGTTTATTTTGACAGTTTCGGTGAAATAACTGTCAAATATAGTCCCAATGGCTGCAATACCAACACTATTATTTAAAAAATAAGTTTCAAAGCTTTCACAAAGATTTCTTTTTTCGAACATACGGTATTACATATTTCTTTTAATAACGAAATTACATAAATAAATAAAGAAAGTGAATTGAAAAACAGGGTGTTGTATTTGAAAACACCGTTGTAAGGATGTTTGAAATATTGTATTTTAAAATTTTTATTAACGCTCTGTATGCGAAGACTTAATTTGGTTAATACGACAATAAAGTGTGTACTTTTGTGTGTTTATTTATTAAATAGAATATGATCGAAAAAAAAATGTTCTCTGGTAGGCAATGAAATTTATTTTTTAAATTATTTAATTTTATTAAGTTGACAATACCAACGCGTCCTTGTTTATTTTGACAGTTTCGGTGAAGTAACTGTCAAATATAGTCCCAATGGCTGCAATACCAACACTATTATTTAAAAAATAAGTTTCAAAGCTTTCACAAGGATTTCTTTTTTCGAACATGCGGTATTACATATTTCTTTTAATAACGAAATTACGTAAATAAATAAAGAAAGTGAATTGAAAAACAGGGTGTTCTATTTGAAAACACCGTTGTAAGGATGTTTGTAATATTGTATTTTAAAATTTTTATTAACGCTCTGTATGCGAAGACTCAATTTGGTAAATACGACAATAAAGTGTGTACTTTTGTTTGTCTCTCTATTAAATAGAAAATGATCGAAAAAAAGTTGTCTGGTAGGCCATGAAATTTATTTTTTAAATTATTTAATTTTATAATGTTGGCGATACCAACGCGTCCTTGTTTATTTTGACAGTTTCGGTGAAGTAACTGTCAAATATAGTCCCAATGGCTGCAATACCAACACTATTATTTAAAAAATAAGTTGCAAAGCTTTCACAAGGATTTCATTTTTCGAACATACGGTATTACATATTTCTTTTAATAACGAAATTACATAAATAAATAAAGAAAGTGAATTGAAAAACAGGGTGTTCTATTTGAAAACACCGTTGTAAGAATGTTTGAAATATTATATTTTAAAATTTTTATTAACGCTCTGTATGTGAAGACTTAATTTGGTTAATACGACAATAAAGTGTGTATTTTTGTTTGTTTATTTATTAAATAGAATATGATCGAAAAAAAATGTTCTCTGGTAGGCAATGAAATTTATTTTTTAAATTATTTAATTTTATTAAGTTGACAATACCAACGCGTCCTTGTTTATTTTGACAGTTTCGGTGAAATAACTGTCAAATATAGTCCCAAATGGCTGCAATACCAACACAATTATTTAAAAAATAAATTTCAAAGCTTTCACAAGGATTTTTTTTTGGAACATACAGTATTACATATTTCTTTTAATAACGAAATTATATAAATAAATAATTATAGTGAATTGAAAAACAGGGTGTTCTATTTGAAAACACCGTTGTAAGAATGTTTGAAATATTATATTTTAAAATTTTTATGAACGCTCTGTATGCGAAGAATCAATTTAGTTAATACGACAGTAAAGTGACTATTTTTGTTTGTCTCTCTATTAAATAGAATATGATCGAAAAAAAAATGTTCTCTGGTAGGCAATGAAATTTATTTTTTAAATTATTTAATTTTATTAAGTTGACAATACCAACGCGTCCTTGTTTATTTTGACAGTTTCGGTGAAGTAACTGTCAAATATAGTCCCAAATGGCTGCAATACCAACACTATTATTTAAAAAATAAGTTTCAAAGCTTTCACAAGGATTTCTTTTTTCGAACATATGGTATTACATATTTCTTTTAATAACGAAATTACGTAAATAAATAAAGTGACTTGAAAAACAGGGTGCTCTGTTTCAAAACACCGTTGTAAGGATGTTTGAAATATTATATTTTAAAATTTTTATGAACGCTCTGTATGCGAAGAATCAATTTAGTTAATACGACAATAAAGTGACTATTTTTGTTTGTCTCTCTATTAAATAGAATATGATCGAAAAAAAAATGTTCTCTGGTAGGCCATGAAATTTATTTTTTAAATTATTTAATTTTATTATGTTGGCGACACCAACGCGTCCTTGTTTATTTTGACAGTTTCGGTGAAGTAACTGTCAAATATAGTCCCAAATGGCTGCAATACCAACACTATTATTTAAAAAATAAATTTCGAACATATGGTATTACATATTTCTTTTAATAACGAAATTACGTAAATAAAGAGAGTGAATTAAAAAACAGGGTGTTCTATTTGAAAACACCGTTGTAAGGATGTTTGAAATATTGTATTTTAAAATTTTTATTAACGCTCTGTATGCGAGACTCAATTTGGTTAATACAACAATAAAGTGTGTATTTTGTTTGTCTCTCTATTAAATAGAAGAATATGATAAAAAAAAAAGTTCTCTGGTAAGCAATGAAATTTATTTTTTAAATTATTTAATTTTATTATGTTGACAATACCAAATAGCTGCAATGCCAACATCATTATTTTAAAAATAAATTTCATGGCCTACTAGAGAGCTTCTTTTTTCGATCATACGGTATTATTTCTTTTAATAGTGAATTTATTTACGTAAAAAAAAAGAAAATAGAGAAACAGTAAAATGCAAGATATTCTATTTGGAAAAACTGATGTAAGGATATTTGAAGATTATGTTTTAAATTTTTTTATAAACAGGACTCAATTTCATTAATACCATAATAAAGTGCTTATCTCTATAAAAACAATATGATAAATAAAAATGTTCTCTTGTAAAAAATTTTTTTTTAAGTAATCATGTTGGCAACACTAACGCGTCCTAGTTCAGTTGTGACATTTTTGGTTAAGTAACTGTCAAATAAAGTTTCAAAAAGCTGCAATACCAACATGATTATTTTAAAAATAAATTTCATGGCCTAACGAGCACTTTTTTTTCGATCGTATGGTATTATGTCTTTTAATAATGAAATTACGTAAATAAAGCAAGTTAATAAAAAAACAGTGTGTTTTGTTTGAAAACGCCGTTTTAAGGATATTTAAAAATTATATTTTAGAATTTTTATAATCACTCGGTATTCTACGACTGAATTTTATTAATATGATAATAAGGTACGTACTTTTGTTCGTCTCCCTATT